CATTGTTCAGCAAAGTTACCCAATTTTTATAACTTTGTTATGGTGTTCCACATATGGCTGTGTATGACACAGTAGAATGTGGAATTTCCATGTTGTATTTATTTATTTAAATTTGTTGCAACTTCTTGTACGGAAAGAAATGAATTCTTTTAATTTGTTATTGCTTCTTTGAAGCCAGTTTGTAAATTGCTGGAAAAGCAACAATTTTTTACATTTCTAAAATCTCTCAAACACTCAACAATTGGAATCAAACTAAGTAAATGTTTCTAAAATTTGTGTTTCAAGAGAATCCAGATTTTCTGATATTTTATTCTAATTGTTTCCGTCCCAGCCTCTGCCTTGGTACCCTCGCTGAATAATATATTTTGACTTTAGCCAATCATCAAATCCTGGCCGACATCTAACAAAAAATTTCCAAGCAGTGAAACAAAACCAATTAACAAATGAAGTTCAGGTGGAGGAACGAGTTGCTCAATTAAAGTATTTGGATCTAAATTAATATATAAAATTTGAGGATTGATGCAGTTCATAAACTCTTGCATGGATGATTTTACTGAGTTATTTATATAATAAATATTTATTGTACCAATAATCAATACTGCCAAGAGTTCGTTTTGTCCCTAAATTTAATGTAGATATTCCTTCACACCATAAACAAGCTTTTTTCCCAGAATGTCCTGATAAACTAAACAGTGCGTTTCCAAATTTCAAATCAAAAGCAACATAAAAACTGACATCTTGCAAATTTAATTTTTCTATAACAAGTCTCAAATTATAGTTAGATTCAAGAATATCTTCAACAATAGCTAAAAATTGAGACCGTTGAACGCCACTATTTAAGTACTCGTCTGACTCATCATCTTTTTGACAATCAAAGACATTGATGATTAATTTAAAAAATGAACCTTCACCATCCAATGAAATTCTTAAAAGGCTGAAGTAGGGTCTAAACCACGCAATTTTAATAAGTCAAGTACAAAATCTGATGAATTTTAAACATATACAAGATCTCGTAAAATTAAATGGCCTTTACTATCAACAAACTCGCACTTCTGCACACTGTAGTAATTAGAAATATATTCTTCTAATTCAGAAAGACGACTAAAAATATTAGGCTCAATGGAAAGCTTATTTCCTAAACCTTTGCGTAAAGTAGAAAGCATCTCTGTTGTTTTTCTATTTGAAAGTTCTAACACAATTTGTAATTGCTTTATTATTTCGATGGAAAGCTGCTTAATAGAAGTTCTTTTTGATTTGTTTTCTGGTGTGCCAACTTTGACTTTGAGCGGATTTCCTCCTGTAGATAAACAAAACGTTGATCCGTCAATCAAACTTTCTGTAGCCATTTTACTTTTTTTAATTCCAGAAGCAACCTACGTAAAGTTTTCACAAAATGAAATTGGCATAAAAAACTAAAAACTTATAAACAGAATATATATTTTGTTCAGCTTGAAGAGAACCTAGAAGAAATGACAGTGTAATGGTATTTGCCACAACACTGGTGGGTGTACAGTTATGAGAATAACCAGGTGCAGGTAATGTATAGCAAAAAGAACATATACATGACTTAGTTGTCGGTAAATTAGTTATCTCATCTGGAAGAGTTAGGCTGGTTCTGGGGCTATTTCTCAAAAGGGTTTTCCACTCTACCTAAATAAATATACATTTATAAATAAGCAAAAGAAAAAAAAGAAAAAAATTAAAAAAAAAGGAAAAAAATCATTAAATTTACCTTGGTAACCTTAGCTCCCCATTCACCACGAGGTCTCCCTTTTTGAGTCTGTAAAGATTTCTTTGGCAACCAGGACAAACAACTGATGGATGGCAATCGTTGTTCATCGAATATCCAGGAAAGATAAACATTTGAATTTGTTCTTCTAAGCTTTAATTCATTTTTTTCAATGATTTTGATCTTTCGCCATACATTTCCCAGCAACAGCAACAAGTAGAATTCATTTTTAAGTGAAAGAAATTCAACTCCTAAATAACACGACCTTCCGCAATTTGAAAATTTTTATACAACCATCTTTTCAATCTCGGAATTTTTTTTGATTAGTTAGTACAGGGGGAATAAATTTATAAGCCCATCTAATATAAAAATTAATATAATAAATAGCTAATATTTAATTAACTATATATAAAAATTTGTTAAAAATATATTTTTGACATTTATAATTTTATTTTTGAACTGTTATATTAAATAATATATTTTACAAAATAAATTTTGTTACCTCCATTAAAAAAATATCTATTAGTGGTTTCCAAGGATAAAAACATTTTTTTTAACATTTTTTTAAGTCAAGATCCGACGAAAAATTAAGAAATTTTATAACCATTTTATAATATATTTATATCAAAAAAGATATGATAGTAACGCATTTCGATTTCAGAAAATATATTTTCTAAAACAATATATATATATAAAAACCTGGCGGTCTCTCTGGTGCACAGTGATTAGAGACTTGTTAATGAATTTAAATTTAGTATAAAATGTTTTAAAAGATGTATATATAAATGTTATAAAGACGTCGTTTTTTTACGAGCCGTAACTAAGCAATTCATTGCAATTCAGCGTGGTTGTTGTTAAAAACCATACTAACCAAAAATAAAAGTTATTTCTGTAAATAACTAACTGGAATAAATGTTGTCTGGAATAGACTAACTGATATTAGTTCATGCCAGACAACAATTTTATGAAAAGCTATTAATAAATAAACAAAAAAAAAAAAAAAAAAAAAATAATTTTAATTTCTGTTAGAGTGGTTGTTAACAACGACCACGCTGAATAAGAAAAACGAAAAGCAGCAGTATAACACCAATTATGCCCGGCCCCTTTACACCGGCCCCTTTACACTAAACTTTAATCAGAGTAACTAACCTATTTCCTCTCGACAAAAAAATTAAAACAAATAAATCAAAAAAATGCCTTTTCAAAGAAAAAAAGTTTTGATACGACCCCACTAGCCCAGGAAACAAATATTGAAATTGAAATAAAACATGCATGTTCAACGAGACTACATAGAGTCGCTGTCAGAGTTCTAACAAGTCTGAAAGATAAAGTAAAATAAAAAAAAAAAGATTTAAAAAATTGGAGTTCCCTGGTTTGCTCTAAAAACAATTTTAACATGAACATTTATCAAATTTACACAAATGCTGAAAGTTTTACTGCTCTAGCTAATCTGCAAGGTAGTGAAAAATCAATCGCAAGATTCCTGAACAACTCGTGACAAACAACTCGTGAAGCCAAACTAACGTTTGAAAAAAATTGTAAATTTATTTACAAGCACTATTTTAATTGAGTAAGATTTCATTTTTCTAATCTTCTTTGTGTGGGTTGGAGACAAACGCAACAAAAAGAAGGTTAATAGGGTACTCATAACCTATAGTAGAAGATTGACTGGCTTTCCTTGCCATCTTTTTTCAAATAGATTATATATGATAAAACGCAAGAAAAGATTATATCTGATAAACACTTCTTTTACCATATGTTCTTGCGGATACCAAAAATGTTATATTGCGTCACATTACCAAAACAGTATATTTGATATAAAAGCAACTAAAAAGAAAAACACTGTAGTAAATGTGCGCTCTAACAAATGATTTAGTTAATGTTTGCATGCATGGGTAGCATCCAGTAGTGTAGCAAGAAATTATGCCCCCTTTTCCCTTCCTCCCACCAAAGTTTCATTATGGCCATAAACCTATTTCTGCTTAAAAAAATGAAGTAAAAAATCAATGATTATTTAGGAGTCCCTTTTAGCACTATGGCTCTCACGCAGGAGGGAGCTGTCTCTAATCTACTGGTCAACATGGGGGTATGTTGATTATTTTTTCCCCTAATTACGTACACAGAATAACCCTTCATGATATACGTAAAATAAATTTTTTTTACAATGTTCCACCACAAACTCTGCCTACATACACCAGAGTGTTACCTGAAGTATTAACCAGAAGTGCCTACAAACAGTCAGTAGATTTGAATACGCTACCTATATCAAAATTTATGTTAAATTAACATGAAATGACTGCTCTTTTTTTAAATAATATAACTTACATTTTACTTACTTACAAAGTAAAGTATAAAATTTCAAAGACAAAACTTACTTTCATTTGTAATTGTAAATAACAATTTTGTTCAAATTACTTTTATTTAACCTGTTTTTGCTAATTAGTTCTTTTACACGTAAAAGTAATTTGGTTTTATGATGTAGTTTTATTTTACTTAGTAAATCAAATCCTAAGTTTTTTAAATTATTAAATTTGCATAAGTTTACATTATAAAAAACTTTTTTTTACATATAAAAAGTAAATTACATAAAAATGTAAATTTCTTACATAATTATAACCAAAATAAATTAAATTTTCAAAGTAAATTACATTACACAACTTACTATTAAAAGTAAGTAAAAGTGAACAGTCTTTTAATGTAGTTACTTTTATTTGCAAGTAAAAGTGAACAGTCTTTTAATGTAAAGTTACTTTTATTTGTAAAAATAAATTACTTTTTCAAGTAACACTTACTCATTTAAAAATTTAAACTTAAGTAATTAAGTTTTACATGTTATATAATTTATGTAAAAAAAAAAAAAAAATTACTTTTAAATGTAAGTAAATTATTATAATAACATGAGTTATGTAAAGTAATTTACGCTTTAAAATAATTCGCGTTTTAACATCAATATAAGTAAGAGTCATCAAGGCAAAACAGTCTTTAGAAAACTTTAACAACTTTAAAAAAACTTTTAATCAGAACACTAATCATAAAGTTATTGATTAAATTAAATGTTCTCCACATGATGTATTTTAAAAGTAATTATAACCTGCAGGAGAGAAAATGGACATCTAGGGCTGCAAAGGATATATCCAGTTTAGCAAAATTAGGTAGAACCTTATTTAAATTTGATAACCTTTAAAAGTAATTATTTTGAATTACGGTTCAATGGATTTTGCTTTTAGAAATATGATTATTTCTTATAAACTTCTGAAAAATATAAACAACGTTTAAAAGTTTTTATTCTGTACTTTTTACAAATTTTTTTACTTTACACATTTTTATTTATAATTTAACATAATTTGAGTAGTGTTGTTACATACATTTAACAGGAAGACAATATCTCTCCCAGCTGTTGAGCAGCTTGCTACCCTTAAATTGAGCCAGAAATTTTTCTGTGAGTTTTTTTATCTGCTCCTCATTAAAAAAGTTTTCGAAATCATGAATCTGGCCTTTTCTAAAAAATGAAAAGTCGTTAATTCTATTTGGATTTTTTTGAACTAACAGAGATTCTTTCTCTCTCATTTCCTTAAAAGAGGAATTGTTAATGATCTTTTTCATTATAAATTCATCATTAGCACTTCTCTGATACACACCACCCATGTAATCAGCAATTTGTTTAATTATAGCTCTCGGATATGTCATAAGATCTTCGTACGTTATCCACAAAACTGTTTGCTCAAACTTCCTTTGGTACCAGCTTTTATGGTGATCAAAATAATCGTTATAATCAGTTTGCCCATGCAAAAAGTACGTAAAAAAGTCATTAAAAGAACCGGAGAATTCGTTTATAGACCTAACTTCGTGAAATAAAGAAACAGCTGTATCAAATGGGTTTCTTGATATATAAATACATTTTGCTTTGGGATGAATAGGTACTTTATCGTATGGAAGTTGAGTTCGAAGAATTCTAGGGTGTGGAACCATTTCAGCTAGTTGAACAAAATATTTCCCAAATCTTTGTGCAACGTGCCTTCCCATTCCAATTTCAGGTATTTCTTCCCATAACCTATAAAAATCAGTAACTTTTTTTTTTTAAAGTTTTTTAAAAAAAACTTTTATCATCAAAAAAAACTTTTTTAAAAAACCTGTTTATAAAATTTTCTTACAAAACCTGTTTATAAAATTATATTAATAATTTTGTAATTATATTTATTAATAATTTTACAAAATGAATTTTTTACGTTAAAAAAGAAAGTTTCACGTTAAAAAAGAAATTTTTTAGTTAAAAAAGAAAGATTACCACGATTTTTACACTTACCAATAAGAAATACAAATTCACATTTGCATTATATTCTTATTTCCAGTGGGCACGGACGTAAAAACGTCTTATACACGTTTAAAACGTCTTATACACGTTTAAAACGTCTTATACACGTTTAAAACGTCTTATACACGTTTTGGACGTCTTTTAAACGTTTTGGACGTCTTTTTGAACGTTCTAAAGACGTCTTTTTTTGATCCGGTGCCCACTGCATTAGGAAGTATTTTTAATTTTTTAAAAAATAAAATCTTTAAAAAAAAAATGATAAAACTTTCAAGTATGTTTTAGATTATGTTTCATGATGAAACTTTCGAGTATGTTTTAAATTATGTTTTAGAGTATGTTTCATGATGAAACTTTCGAGTGAAAACTTAATTTGTTGTAATAATTTTTGTTAAAATTTTCAATATGAAGTTTTTCAGCCTAATAATGTTTAATATTTTTATTGACTGCAGAAATTGTACTAAAGAATCATTAGTATCAAAAATATGGCATTTTTACATAAATATAAGCCAAAATATATATAATAAATAAGCCAAAAAACTTTAAATAAGCCAATATATAAATACTTTAAATAAGCAATACTTTAAATAAGCCAATGTAATATAAAAATATATAAAAGGCTTAAATAAGCCAAAAAACTTTTTTTTAGACAAGTCAAACTTATGTAGTGTTGAAGCAAAGTTTTTCGTGAGCTGCCTGTCGCGTGGTACTAAGACCATACAGGCACAATGTGGTAAATATATCATAATATACTATACATTTTACCACTTTCCCAGCAAAATTCATTTTTAAAAGTTGATATTTGATTTACAAAAAAACACGTCAGCCTACATTACGCTAAAGTCCAATAAACGATGTTTAAACCATAACTCTGTCTTGGCGATTAGAATCAAATTAATTGAAGAAATAAATGTTTTTAATGCTTTTAACTTGTATATATTGTTAATGCATTTCTGCATAAATAATTTAAATAAAGTGCGTTTAAATAAAGTACAATTACTGCATAAATACTTTAAATAAAGTATGTTTATTAACACAAATTCGTAAAATTGTATTTCTCTTTACGTTAAGATAAATTAATTTAGGACAAAAAAAAATAATGTTTTCTAAAAATTGAACTATTAAAATATTTTGAAACTTTTTGGAATTAAAAACATTTTTTAATTACAGATACAAAAAGGTAATAATATTCAGATTTATTTATCCTATCATCAGTTCGAATTTATTTAACATATCATCAGTTCGAATTTATTTAACATATCATCAGTTCGAATTTATTAGTTTAAAGACTGTTTATAGTTGCTTTTGAATCAGATCCTGATGTTAAAATAAATGTATTTTAGCCAAAAGCCCAAAAGTTGAGTTTTCAAATCAGCTAAGTCTGCTAAAATATACGAAAACAGTTTCTCTTGTATTTACGAGTATTACTTCTTCTTGTCGGCCTTAAATGGTAGGTTCTATTTATTATGCACTTTGTTTCCCACTCATTAAAATTTTTTGACAGCAGATTATCCTTCTGAACTTGCCAAGAATGCTAAGTAAAAAGGACACCACTCTTTTTTTAAATATTAACTTTATAATCGTTTTTATGTATTTGAAGTTTCACTAATAGTTTCACTTCCCTAACAGTGAAACTAGTGGGTTTTTTTATGTGTATGGATGTTCTATTTAGGCCCGCCCAAATTTAGGGAAATTTCTATTTTTTCCACTCAAATTCTTATTCTGGCAGCCTTAGCCTCCCCCCCTTAATTTTCGTTTCATTACCCCAACTTTTTTTTCCTCCCTACGCCACTGTATATATATATATATATATATATATATATATATATATATATATATATATATATATATATATATATATATATATATATATATATATATATATATATATATATATATATATATATATATATATATATGTATATATAAATGTATATATATAATAATTGCATCTGAAGATCTTTTGCCGTAAATCTACCGAAAGTGTTCTTTCGATCTTGGTGACGAGCGTCAATTTTTTTTTTCGTTATCTTATCTCAACTAGTGATATTTTGTTAAGAAAACTCAGGGCCAACAACAGGGGTTTCGAAGTGGAGGGGCACAATTGTCAATTTTTAAAAAAAGTCTTCTATATATAGAGTTTTCTTTAAAAAAAAGGCTCTTTATAAAAAACGTGCCCCCGGTGTCGTCGGATCTAGAGTTGTTGTCAAAAGATAAAGAACTTAGCCTTTTCTGTGTCATTTTTTATGGAAACCATGTTTTAATCCTTCTCAACATTTAAATGATCTTTCAGGTGTTATACTTGAAGAAATGGTTATCAGAATGACACGACGGTGCTTCTTTCAAGTTGAGCCCATCAACTGGGGAAAAAATATTTAAAATTGTTGGAAATATTTAACGCTCTGAAGCTTTAAATAATTCCAACAATTTTAAATAGTTTATCAATCTTTAACTAGATTGGGAAAATAAAATATTTTAACTAGGAAACTTCCTCGTACCAGCCAGTTGAGTTCTGTTGAAATGAAACATGAGATAGTACTAGTCTGTTGAGTTGAAATGAAACATGAGATAGTAAAAGTCTGTTGAATTGAAGTGAAACATGAGATACTACTGTTCTGTTGAACTGAAATGAAACATGAGATAGTACTAGTCTGTTGAACTGAAATGAAACATGAGATAGTACTGGTCTGTTGAATTGAAATAAAACATGAGATAGTACTGGTCTGTTGAATTGAAATAAAACACGAGATAGTACTAGTTTGTTGAATTGAAATGAAACATGAGATAGTACAGGTCTGTTGAATTGAAATGAAACATGAGATAGTACTAGTCTGTTGAATTGAAATGAAACATGAGATAGTACTAGTCTGTTGAATTGAAATGAAACATGAGATAGTACTAGTCTGTTGAACTGAAATGAAACATGAGATAGTACTGGTCTGTTGAATTGAAATAAAACATGAGATAGTACTGGTCTGTTGAATTGAAATAAAACATGAGATAGTACTGGTCTGTTGAATTGAAATAAAACACGAGATAGTACTAGTTTGTTTAATTGAAATGAAACATGAGATAGTACAGGTCTGTTGAATTGAAATGAAACATGAGATAGTACTGGTCTGTTGAATTGAAACAAAACATGAGATAGTACTGGTCTGTTGAATTGAAATGAAACATGAGATAGTACTAGTCTGTTGAACTGAAATGAAACATGAGATAGTACTGGTCTGTTGAATTGAAATAAAACATGAGATAGTACTGGTCTGTTGAATTGAAATAAAACACGAGATAGTACTAGTTTGTTGAATTGAAATGAAACATGAGATAGTACAGGTCTGTTGAATTGAAATGAAACATGAGATAGTAATGGTCTGTTGAATTGAAATAAAACATGAGATAGTACTAGTCTGTTGAATTGAAATGAAACATGAGATAGTACTAGTCTGTTGAATTGAAATGAAACGTGAGACAGTACTAGTCTGTTGAATTGAAATGAAACGTGAGATAGTACTAGTTTGTTGAATTAAAACGAAACATGAGATAGTACTGGACTGTTGAATTGAAATGAGAAAAGTATGAAAAATATGAATATGAAAAAGTAAAGCAATCTTGAGCGATGTAGAAAAAAAAAGCACAAAATGTGAAATATTCACTTTTTTAGTTAAAAAAATACTTTTTCCAAAAATTATATTCTCAAAAACATTCCAGAATGCTTTTCCTTTTTTCTTTATCTAAATTTCCATATATACAGAAATATTCATATTGCTCTTCCTACAGTCAAGCCAAAATATACAAGAATATTCATATTGCTGTTCCTACAATCAAGCCAAAATAGACATTTCAGATTACAATAATTCGCATAGAGCTGAAAGTTGGTACGAACCTTTGAGACATTACTACAAATAAAATATACCCCCACCTATCCCACATCAAAAAAAGTTATTCAAGGGCAAATATATAAAAAAAGAGGGTTTTTTCTTCATTTTTTCTGGTAAACAGTAAGTTTTATTATAAAAATAGATTGAAAAAAAGTTGTTTTGAAAATATCTACAAAAATTGGTTTTAGGGATGTTATTCTAACTGATAATCTTCAAATGTCATTTTAACAGTTATATCTTTTTTGTTTCCTACTTCTTCTTCTTCTCTTTCTTCTTCTTCATTTTATAACTGAATTTGTGCAATATATCCATCAGTTGTCTCCTAATTAATATCATTTAACTTTTTAATGTTATCATTTACTTTTTAATATTAATCCACTTCCCCAATACCGAGAAGGCCACTACAGAGGAGGAGATTACTTAATTGTGGTTATAACCCTCTCTCAACTCTATAACTCCGAAACACGAACACTGAAGAACAAGGCCGCTGCGCGGAGAAACAAGTTGAGTACTATATACAAGGGACGTGCTGGGATTGAACTCGAAACCTCTCGCTTACAAAGCAAGCGCTCTACCACTATGCTACTACAGCATAATACTTTTTGAAGTTGATTCAACATTAGAGCAAGACTGGCCTCAGCAATTACTTTTACATGTCGTGAACAATTACAACACATACTGGTGAACAAAATACAGTAGATATAGAGTAAACAATTACATACTCGTGAACATTTAATTAATTCGACTAATTTAAATAATTCGACTTTTTTTTGCAATATTTTTCACTATAACCCTTTTACAATTGCAAAAGATGGTGAGAGAGATAAAGATACTTCGTGGATATACTGTTAAACATTTCTTAAAGCACAAGTAAATTCGTGGACTGTAGCTATTTGCTGGTTGTTAAATAAATGGTAAGAATAAAATTTTGGATTAAGAAAAATTTATAATATTACTAGTTAAACGTTCGATATAATCATTCCAACCGGATAGCGATAAATTTTTGAATTTACAGTTTTACATCGGAGTAGAGATTTTAAAACTTCACTTTCATAAACTAAAATTTGCACATTTATTTCACTATAAATGACCACACATTTATTTTAATAGAATTACATTAGCACATAAGTTTTTACCGTGAAGGTCTTTTGCTGTTACTAACTAAACTTTTGGGGGTAACAATTTGAATAATCAATCAAGCGTGTTATTATCGTCTAAAGTATTTACATTTATATCAGAATTTTCTGCGACATGTTCAATAAATGTTTCAGTTTTTAGTGGTAAGATAAAAAGTGAATGACGAAGAACTGCTGCAGCCTCCTACCTCACAGTGTCAATATTTAAATGTCCTCTAAAATGATTTCCGCAGTCAAGGACGGGTTTTGCCTCTCGCCAAGGAGGGGGTCAAAAAAGTTTATAAGTAACTTTATTTTTTAACTTTTTGTACTTTAGTGTAATAATCAAGTTTATATACGTATAATTAAGTGTAATAGTCAATTTTATTTGTCATCATAATAGTCCATATTCTTCTTTTTTTTTTTTTTTTTTTTTTGCTCATACCAAGCTTGGTTAGAAATATTGTATTGATTGTCAGTAAAACAGATGAATAATCGGTTTTTAAGTAATAATTTTATCATACTTCAACATGTTGATTCACAGCTGTTGAGTTCAAATTGTTTTTGTTTTTTTATCTGAATCTGGAGTTTCATACTTTTTATCATCACTGTTTAAAATGAATGTAAGTATTTGTTTCAACATCATCACTGTTTATAATGAATGTAAGTATTTGTTTCAACATCATCACTGTTTATAATGAATGTAAGTATTTGTTTCAACATCATCACTGTTTATAATGAATGTAAGTATTTGTTTCAACATCATCACTGTTTATAATGAATGTAAGTATTTGTTTCAACATCATCACTGTTTATAATGAATGTAAGTATTTGTTTCAACATCATCACTGTTTATAATGAATGTAAGTATTTGTTTCAACATCATCACTGTTTATAATGAATGTAAGTATTTGTTTCAACATCATCACTGTTTATAATGAATGTAAGTATTTGTTTCAACATCATCACTGTTTATAATGAATGTAAGTATTTGTTTCAACGCACCGTTTGTAGATGCGTTTCAAGGACGACCGATTTTATCTCCAGTAGTTGGTTTTATAACAGAATTATAACAATTAATATGGTACTAAGCTTGAGCAGCAGTTAAATCACACTAGTGCTCAATGCGTGCAGTAAAATTTTTTGCTATGTCATCAGAACGACTCCAAGCTTCCTTCAAAACTAATTCTTTGAATTTATAATATTAACAATTTTGAACTTTTAAGCGGAACATTTTACAAATTCTTTTTTCAGCCTCCTCCTTTGCTTTATTGCCGCAAAATAAGCAAAATTTTTTTAAACAAAGTTGGACTATCTTAGGCGCCCTCTGGTACGAGATAAACAAGTTTTAAAGGTGCTGGGCTGATCCATTTTTTTCTGTCTTTTAAATACAGCAATAGCACTCTTCCGAACAGATATTTTACGGCATTGGACACAAATTGATACAAACTTTTATTCTTTTAGGTATTCAAGGAATCCTTCGGTTGTCTCAACACTCAAATCAATCAAAGGTTACGAGCAGTGGTTAGCGCGCTTGCCTCAGAAGCTAGAGATCTGGGGTTCAACGCTACCTCTGGGCAAGTTTTATAACATTGGTAAGGAAGGCGGCGTGAACTTCCTTTCAAATGCTCTTCCGCGGTGCTCTGTGATAAGACCGTAAGGACTTCTTAGGGCACCTAAAATGAATTAAAAAAAAACAAAAACATTCCACAATCAACAACAACTGTTTCACCTGCTGTTTAAATTTTATTACAAATAAAAAATTGCTGCGACATTTTTTAAAAAAAGTACGAAACAATAGAAAAAGAAATATTATTCCAATAACCACGTGTATTCACTGGAAAATAACCACGCGTATTCACTTTAAAGGAACATTTAATACTTAAAGTATTTTATCACAGTGCGTATTTCAATTTATGTCTATATGTCTAAACGAATTTATGACGTGAAAACCAGTAGCAAATAAAAACAACAAAATTTAGCTACGTTAAACGTACATGTTGTTGTTTTGCTATCTACTCTTAATTGGATAATTTATATATATGTTACACAAACCATTTATAAATAAAATTGTATTTATAATTGGTTTTTGTAACATATAATACTTATAATTACTATTTATACTTATAATAATTGTGTAACATAACTTATAATACATATAAATACAACACTTTTACTCATAATAAACATGTGTATAAGCAGTTTAGCGTTCCTATCAAAGCAGTTTAGCGTTCCTATCAAAGCAGTTTAGCGCTCCTATCAAAGCAGTTTAGCGTTTCTATTCTAATTTTAAGTGATTTAGAAATGCAATATCCCAGGATTATAATGATTTTTTATAAAAAATAAAGTATAAAGACAATTTTGGTTTTCAAAGAAAATTTTTAATTTTTAAAATTTTTTTTAATCTATTTTTATAAAACGTACGTTTACTGGAAAAAAATTTTTTTTTTTCACCTTTAATAATGAATAACTTGTTTTGCAGGTGTGAGATCGGTGGGGAATTTAAATATTTTAATTTTAATATTAAAATATGTCCCCAAGATCTGTTCTAACTTTCAACTATATGCAAATTATTTATTTGTAGTTATTTAGGTGCTCCCAGAATTCCTTACTGTCTTATCACAGAGCACCACGGTAGGGCATTTAATTAGAGGTTAACGCCTCCTTCCGTACCAATGTCACTTGTAAGGATAGAGTCGGCGTTAAACCTTGGAACTCTGGGTTCTGAGCCAGAACTTTAAACACTGCGCCACGGCTGTTCAAATTATTGTAAACCTTCCACTGTTTTTACGACTATTTTGACCGGACTACAACGATTTGCATCTAGTATTATACAAAACATAAGTTACAATTAAAAAGTTATAATGAACAAGCTTTATCGTGATAAAATCTTATGAAATACTGAATTCCACAAACAACTAAATTAAAAAAAAAAGTTACATAACAAATGTTTAAATATAATCATGATTAATAACTACCTTTCTGAGGAGTGAATTGGTTCACCTTCATTTTTTAGCAGATATATGATATATGAAATCCAAGATGATCCAGCTCGTGGATAACCAACTATAAATGTATCTGTACAAGTTGCTTGATATGAAATTGCATTTTCAACAAAATCTGGTGGAAGCCATCGACGAACTATAATGTCTTCTTGTATTTGGTATCGATGTGACCTACAACATGTAATCGTTATCATTATAATAATTTGTTTTTTATTTTATAAAATTCATACTTTGTTTTTTATTTTATAAAATTCATACTCTGTTTTTTATTTTATAAAATTCATACTTTGTTTTTTATTTTATAAAATTCATACTCTGTTTTTTATTTTATAAAATTCATACTTTGTTTTTTATTTTATAAAATTCATACTTTTTATTTTATTTTATAAAATTCATACTTTTTTTTCTATTTTATAAAATTCATACTTTGTTTTTTATTTTATAAAATTCATAATAACAGAAACAGTTCATAATAACGGTCACTACAGTTGAGAAAACGTTTTAAATTTTTTTTATTGGCAATTTTCTCTCAATCCTATCTATAAACCATATATTACCATAAAATCTAGAAAACATGTTTCCTTGACTGCCTTTTCTCGCGCTTTTGATTTTGATAAATTGTTTGATTTAGAAGAATTTTAGGAATTTTTAAAAAATTTGTTAAATCAGTTAGTATTTAATGTAGTGATAAAATCCTCGTTATTAAAAGGTTGTTTTCTTTAGTGTTTTCTTCGAGTAAATAAATGCTATTAGCCTTGGACGTTGATAGGGAGCGTCATAGAGGGCATGTCATAAAACTACTAAATATAAAAGCATTGTAAAGTATTATAATTTTAAATTTTTTGTTTTTTTATATCGTAAATTAGTGTTAGTAGTATTAGCAGTAGAGATATTTTTTGGAGTTTTTCTGGTACCTCTGACTTTCACATAGTTTTGTGCATTTTTTGGGGCCTAATATGGCCGTACCATTTTTCTTATAAAATTAAGGCATTTATTGATAATTAAAACTAGTGGCTTGCTATTTTTTTTGTTTTCTGCCTTTCCCAATTGACTCCGCTTGTTTCTTATGTTTTTAGTAACTTTAAAAAAAGGTTCTAAGCATTAAAATTACAGATATTCAGTACGAAAATAAAAAATGATGAACATAATGAATACAACTATAAAAATCGTCATAAAAATTACAAATTAAATTGTAGAAGTATAAAAAATAAGCATCGTTTATTTAAACACATTAATTTTTAAATGAATACTAAAACAAAAATTGAGGGTATTCTTAACTAATACTGGAAAAAATCAGGATACCAAAGTTTATAGTATTAACAAAATGGGAATCGTCAAAATTTTCTAGAGTCTACATTGAATTTCAAAATGTCTCTACATTTACATAAGAGTTGAATGATATGTGCATTCTATTATTCAAGAATACCTGAACAGCGATTTGTCCTCAACTTGAGGAAAAAACAGAGAAAGACCTATCTCTGTATTTTATAAAGAGGCAGAAATGTTTCTCAACTTTCCTCCGAGTAAAAACTTGATCAACTCGACCAATTTCTGCTTTTTTCCTAAGTTCAGTGCAAAATTGACACTAACCCTCACTGTCCCAACCCAGCTTGTACACATAGATTGGGCCAACGTGTGGATATCTATTGCAGCCATAGGCTGTTTTTTGATGCAAATTCAACGTTGATTCAATATAATATGTTAGGCAATGATGTCAATAAAAAGATTAATACCATCACAAATAATAACAGCTTGCACTGTTACAATGCTCCAACGTAAAAACATTGGAAAAGTTGATTGTTTTTACGATCTAAACCCAACGTTAATCCTATGTATATAATCCAACGTTGATTAAATGTATACGGATCGTTACTAATCCAATATCTAACGGATCAACATTGATCAAATGTATACATTAAATTACAAGCGAATAGAAAAATGCTCGATTATCCAATTAGTCTTTAACTATCTCTTTTTCAAAGTGAGTGCTTCTCTCTCTCTTTTTTGCAAACCCCCTCAAATTGATTGGGGTTTAAACTTTATATGGTCATAATTTTTTAATGCTAAAATATTTTGCTATGAAATTTAAAATTTCTTGATGAATATAAGTCTAATTGAAAATAGTACAAAAAATATTTCATCAACTTGTTGCTCTCACGTTTGGGGCAAGGGGGAGTGGCTGAGATTTTAAGGTTTCTTGTTCCCATTCTCCTATCACAGTAATTTTTTTTAAAGAATCGTTATGTCATACATATGAAAGTAAAAAAGTTTGAAATATTCTTGTTGGAATATCTAAGTTAGTTATTTCAAACATATGTATATATATATATATATATATATATATATACATTTTTTCAAACTAATGATTTTAAATCGGATGAAGAATCCGATCGAGACATAAATTACTTTAACGAAATTAATTTGTCTGAATTAGTATGCTCTTATTTTCAACTAAATGAACTTTTTAGGAGTGGATAATAAAAGCGATTATTTTAATGTCACGTGAATATTAGAAGTTTCAAAAAGAATTTTGAAAACTTTTAAATTTAGTTTACGAAACCAACAATTGTTTTAAAGTGATTTGAGTAACCGAAAATTGGTGTTCTAAAATATATTTTAAATCAAATTCTAATCTCCTTCTCCCCAGGTTTTAAAGAGATTTTTTTAGAACGAAAGAATAATAGATGCGGAGGAGTACTTTTTATTTGAAAGAAAATATTTTCTATAAAGTTAGAAGCGGTATGAGCGTTTCTGATACGGATCAAGAGATCTTAACAATTGAACTAATCAATAAAAATTCTAAAAACATTTTAATCAGCTGTTGCTATAGGCCTCCAACTGGAAGAACAGAAAATCTTGGTAAATTTTTGAAATACAATCTTATAGAAAAAACTAGTTAAGAGAAAGAAAAAAGTTATATTTTGGGTGACTTCAATTTGGATTGTTTTGAGTATTAGCGAAAACCAAAATATAAAAACATTTTATAACAATTTATTTGAAATACGAACCATACCAAGACCGACTAGAGTTTCAAACCATTCTTCGACTTAAATTGATAATATATTAACCGCAGACCATTTTAATCTCTAAAAAGAGGAATTATAAAGACCAGGGCTGTGGAGTCGAAGTCGGAGTTGCGGAGTCGCGACATTTTTAGCGGAGTCGGAGTCGCTTAACAAAATCGCGACTCCGACTCCAGTAGTAAAACCTCTAGGTATTGCACGTGCATGTGCAAAACATTCAATTAACCTTATGTTCATACTAAACCTCAAAGAACGTTTCATAAATTTGTCAAAAAAGAAATTATTGACTTATTGCGTAATATTTTTAAAAAAATTCAAAAAATTTTTCAAAAATTTTGCTTTGGAGTTGGAGTCGGAGTTGGAGTCGGAGTTGTACTTAAAAAATTTCAGTCGGAGTCGGAGTCGTTACTTTTTTTTTACGACTCCACACGCCTGATAAAAACTGATGTTTCAGATCATTTTCCCATATTTTTTTCTATTAAACGAGATTGTCAAGTAAAAAACGAGGGCAGAATGACAATAAAAAAGCGAATTGTTAACAATTTTAACTTAAAATCATTCAAAGATCAAGTTTTACAGCAAGACTGGAATCACATAAACTTTAATGATAACATAAACATTGTCTATAACACATTTTTTAAAACTTTCTTAAAAATCTATGACGCTAATTTTCCAATATGTGAAATAAATCTCAAGGCCAAAGACATATTATCTCCTTGGATAACTAATTTTGAGGACTAAAAAAGTCCTCAAAACAAAAACAAAAGTTGTATTACAAATACTTAAAAACAAAATCCGAAAAACTCAAACAAAATTACAAAAACTACAAAAATCTGTTTGAAAATGCTAAAAAAAATTATTCTAAATACACGATTTGCGAAATTGACTAGTTGACATGCGTAAGTATTTTCAAATGTCATGCGCAAAAATTTGGGCGGCAAACAAAACATTTTTGCAAGTTTTAGTATAGAAAATTAATAAAATATGTCGGCGGACTTGAAAACGACGCACCCCCTAAGTTTAAAACACGTTTTATCGAAAATGATCTTTTACTGACCTAGTAAAATTAATTAATTAAATAAAATAAAGTGTAATTACATCAATTGATCATAATTAATAAATAGAATTAAATGTAAATGCTTTGATTAACTATTAAAGATTGACACAACTAAATATACATTCATTAATTGACCGTAAAAATTGGGACAGTATTGGTCATGATTATTAGTATTTCATAGGGGTGCGTCGTTTACAAGTCCGCCAATATGTCGACTCATTGTGCTGTAAAAGGTTGTTCTAATGGCCATTATAAGTTATTAAAATGGAACGAAGCTATTTGTGAAGAACATGGGGTGTGTAGGGATGATCCTGAATGTTCTTGTGAAGCGCCGTTCAGGTAAAAGCAATTTTTTTTCTACAGCAGAATTAGTACGATTAAATATTGTTTTGTTTGTTGTTTACTCTTATAAGCTTATAAGCTTTTGAAACATAAGAATTTTTCCATGTTAAAAAATTTATTATATAACATATCTAATTAAAAATAAAACGAAATTTAAATAATCTTATTTAACTATTCTAGCTAACAAAGAACTGCTTACAGCTAAAATAAGATAAACTTTTTTTTTAGGTTGCATACCTTTCCCAAACCAAAAAAAGAGTTGGATAGGAGAAATATATGGAAACTATTCATCAATAGAGAAAGTAATAAAATAGTTTGGAGTCCTGGTGCAAAATCCAGAGTTTGTTTTCAACATTTTTTAAATAAATCAAGTTTAGACTACCCAACATTGAATCTTGGATATGATACTTCTCAAAGAATTCAAAGATTAGTGCCGATAGATTCACCTTCGTATAACTGTAAAAGAAAAATGCCTTTTAAATTGATAGACTTCAATAAAAGTGAAAATATAAATGAAATTTGTGACTTGACAGTGTGACTTTGATAAAGTCACACTGTCAATTCATTTCTATTGGACAACAATAAAAAACTTAGTAATAAAAATAAACTGCTTGATGTACTTAGTAACAAAGATATATTGCTAGATGAGCTTAGAAATAAAAATAAACTGCTTAAAGAAAAGAATAAAATATTACATAGAAAACTAGCAAAATATGAGTCCCTAGAATTTCACCGAAAACTATTGAATA